TTGGCTGACGCATACAGGCGGTCCCACTGGGACCTTCCGTGGAGCTCCCTATGGGGCCACGAAACGCTGTGCTAGGTGGTGGCTGACGCATGCGGGCGGTGCCACTGGGGACTACGGTGGAGCTCCCTATGGGGCCACGAAACACTATACTGGGTGGTGACTGACGCATGCGGGCGGTCCCACTGGGACCTTCGGTGGAGCCCCTTTGGGGCCACGAAACGCCGAGCTGGGTGGTGGCTGACGCATGCGGGCGATGCCACTGAGGCCTTCGGTGGCGCTCCCAATGGGACCACGAACCGCTGTACTGGGTGGTGGTTGACGCATGCAGGCGGTGCCAGTGGGGCCTTCGGTGAAGCCCCCAGTCCCACTGGGACCTTCGGTGGAGCTCCCTATGGGGCCACCAAACGCTGTACTGGGTGGGTGAAACGCAGGGTGGAGGAGGGGGAAGAGGAAGGAGGCGGGAGGAGGAGGAGAACGCGGGGCGCCGTCCGTTCAAAACGAGGACCCAACACCACTGAATGGTTGGGACAAATGACAAGCACGTCCGAAAACCTAAACCCCCGCTCCTTGACCCTCGAGCGGGGGGGGCAGGCTGGAGATTTTGTTTTTTTGATCGGCGCACTCCTGAGAAGCTCCGAGGGTGTCGACTCGCATGGGCGCGTTCGGCCGCTGCTGTCGGCAGAGAAGCGGCAAAAAACGATCGGGGAGCGAATGCAGAGCGGCGATGCGATGTGCACCATCATACACCCTATGCTCCGTCTACCTTGGCCATGTGCTTGATGAGGTCAACGACGCGGCACGAGTAGCCCCATTCGTTGTCGTACCAGGCCACGAGCTTCACGAACGTGGGATCCAGCATGATGCCAGCCTTGGAATCGAACGTGCTGGAGATGGGGCACGTCTCAAAGTCAGTGGACACGAGAGCCTCGTCGCAATAGCCCAAGAACCCCTTCATGTCGCCCTCAGAACGCCTCTTGATCTCGGCGCAGATCTCCTCGTATGTCGTCGCCTTCTCCAGCTCACAAGTGAGGTCCACGACCGACACGTCGATGGTGGGCACGCGGAAAGCCATGCCGGTGAGCTTGCCCGCCACCTCTGGCACGACCTTGGCCACCGCCTTGGCCGCCCCCGTCGAGGAGGGGATGATGTTGCCCGACGCCGCGCGGCCACCACGCCAGTCCTTCTTCGACGCCCCGTCCACAGTTGGCTGGGACGCGGTCATGGCGTGGATGGTGGTCATCAGGCCCCGCTTAATGCCGAACGCGTCGTTGACAGCCTTCACCATGGGAGCGAGGCCGTTGGTGGTGCACGAAGCGCACGAGACGCAGTTCATGTCACTCTTGTAGGTGTCCTGGTTCACGCCCATCACTATGGTGTGGCTGTCGTCCTTAGCCGGGGCCGAGAACACGACCTTTTTCGCGCCCGCCTTGAGGTGCGGCTGGATCTTCTCATCGGTCAGGAACACGCCGGTGGACTCGCAGACGTAGTCCGCACCGTGCTCCTTGAAGGGGATCTCTGCCGGATCACGGGTGTGCGACAGCGCCACCTTGTGGCCGTCGATCACCAAAGAGTCCCCGTCGACCTCGACCGTGCCATCGTACCTGCCGTGGATCGAGTCGTACTTCATCTGGTACGCAAGATACTCCGCATCGTAGCTCGCGTTCACCAGCTTGAGTTCCGTCTCTGGGTCCTTCATGACGATGCGGGCAACCTGGCGCCCGATGCGCCCGAAACCATTGATGCCGACGCCGACCGCCTCCCTGGTCACCTTCGCGGATGAACGGCGGCGGCTCGCGGCCACACCCACGACGCCGGCCGCAACAAGGGAGCACGCGGCGCTGGTGTTGAAGCCCGAGCTCGCGCCGCTCTCGACGCGTGGCTGGGGGATGGAGGCACGGAGAGCTGGCGAAGGGCCCTGGGCCGCCGAGGCGGGGACGCCCACGAAGCAGGACACGGAGTCGCACACCGCCATGACGTCAACAGCCAAAGGGGCCCTGACGAGGTTACTCAATCGTGCACGAATGGTCACAAAAGCACCTAAGCCAAAATGGATACGGCGATCCCGTCCCCGATTTTCGATCAAAAAACCTCGAACCCCGATTAAGGCGACTGTTGCGACATGACATAACCAGGATGGCACGGGCATGGAATATGTATCTGGCGCCGCGATTTGTCCGATGCATTTCGGAATGCGTTGAGGGCGTCCTTGGAACGCCTTGGGGCGATACATCTTACTTTTGCAACCCGCCCGAAGAAGAAATACTCCGACGGTAGGAATGCAGATTTTTTGTTTTTGCCTCACCATCGCCCTTCTCTTTTCGCCCCGGCAGAGCCCTCTTCCAGCCCCCTGGTCTGCTTCCTCCTCGCCACCCTTGCGTTTTCTCCCACGCCCACCTCCTTCACCGCGCCTCTAGCAAGAACGCGCAACTTGAACGTCCTGGGCGCCGTCGCCGCCACGGTTCGCAGGGACGAATCCGATGTCCAGATCGCGAAGCCGTCGGGGCAAACCCGCGGGCCAAGCCGTTGGAACAACCCCGCGAACCGCTGCGGCGCGGGATCAAGCCGTCGGGACAACCCCGCGGGCCGGAAGCAGGGCGCCGCCGCGCTCAGGCGGGCGGCAGCGCGAAGCCTAGCGCTGCCGCGACCTGCTCCGCCTCAGCCCTGGAGCTCTCCGCTCTCTCGTCGAACTTCCCGAGCGCCTTTCCGCCAGGACGCCGGCGGTCCGCGCCCCAGAAACTCGCGCGACGCGGAGGCGCAGCCACCTATTACTGCTCGTCCGACATGCCCGCGCGGCCAGCGCCTTCTCTCCTGGCGCAGTCGATGGTGACGCCCTTGCGCCCTTGCGCAACGTCTAACCCTGCGACAGCGTGGAAGTGAGGCACGACGCCCGCGTGAGGGTGAACCCTGAACGGTGCACGACGTGCGGCCCCGAGCTCTGCCGCGTGATCTCCTGCTCGCTGGGCCTGGCAATTTGCAAGTTCCTCGCCCGCGCCTTGGCGTCGCCGTTGTCGTCAGTGCCTTCGGCACCCTGTAGCAGCAGCTCGGCGACCTCCTGGTCGATCGGGGATTCTTTAGAGTCGCGCACCTGCATCCAAGCTCTCTGCGGTAGGACGCGGGGGCGAAAGAGCTGCGCTCCTCGTAGCGCTCCTCGAGACGTCCTCGCGATTCAACTGGCGAAAGTCCCGCTCGAGACTCCTCCAGAGGAGCCTGATCCCAAAAGAAACGAAGGCTACATGGTTTGGATGGCCCCACTCGGAGTTCAACATGGAGGTGGGGACTCCATAGGAAAGAGCTCCCGATCGAGACTTCCTCGTTGTTCACTCACTGACGAGGCCCCCGCTCGAGACTTCTTAAGCCCGAGGAGCCCAAAAGTGACGACTGTCACAGAAGTTGCTTCCAACGCTCGGATTCCAACACGAAGGGGGGGACTGCACAGGGAGACGTTCCCGCTCGAGACGTCCTCGCGATTCACTTACAGACAAGGCTCCCGCTTGAACCTTCCTCCAGATTCAAGCCCGGGGAGCCCCAAACTGAAGACAGTTACACGATTCGGATGGCCCCGCTCGGATTCAAACATGGAGGTGGGGACCCCATAACAAGGGACTCCCGCTCGAGATTTCCTCACGATTCACTCACCGACGAGGCTCCCGCTCGAGACTTACTTGAAGATGATTGCATGATGACGATGATGACGATGATGATGATGATGATGATGACGATGATGATGATGATGATGATGATGACGATGATGATGATGATGATGATGATGAAGATGAAGATGATCAAGATGATGATCATGATGATGACGATGCTACTGGTGATACTTATGATGATGACGATGAGGATGACGATGATGATGATGATGTTGATGACGACGATGACGATGCTGATGATGATGACGATGACGATGGTGATGATGACAATGATGACGATGATCGTGGTGATGATGTTGATGATGCTGACGATGATTGTGATAATGATGATGCTGATGTTGATGCTGATGATGATGATGCTAAGTATAGTCACGATGCTCATGATGATGACGGTGATGATGATGATTATGATGTGATGCTAATGATGATATCGATGATGATGAGTACGATGGTTATGATGATAATGATGCTGATGATGATGCTGGTGGTGATTATGATGGTGGTGATGGTGATGGTGACAGTGTTGATTACGATGATGATACTTACGGTAACGACGACGACGAAGACGGCGGCGGTGACGAAGACGATGATAATGATGATGATGTTGATGTTGATGATGATCATGATGATGACGATGATGATGATAATGATGATGATGGTAATGATGATGGCGGCGACGATGGCGGCGAGGGAGATAGTGATGTTGATGGTAATGGTGATGATGACGATGACGATGACGATGACGATGACGATGACGATAAGGATGACGATGGTGGTTATGAAAATGATAACGATGATGGTGATGATAATTATGGTGGTGGTGGGGCTCGTGATAATGGTGGTGACGACGGTGGTGCTGCTGACGTTGATGATGATGATGCTGATGATGATGACGATGGTTTGGTGATGATGATGATGATGATGATGATGATGATGATGATGATGATAGTGAATGTGGGGGCAAACTGACATATCGATTCAGCAACGCCCCCGCCCCCATCAAAACATTCGCTCCTGGCGGCGCCACTGCCGCACCGGGCTTCGATGCAGCATTGGGCGGGGTACGGGGGACGCCGTCAGCAAGCAACATTGAACACAAACTGTGGAGTCAGCTTTGGATGGAGGGGAGGACGGGCATGACCTCACGACATAACATATTACGAGAAGATGGCCCCATGACCACGCAGTCCAATGAAAAATCTGGAACGACCGCGAAACGTTCCCTGAAACCCGTACCACTTTCACAGTAGTCCTGGTGGTGTGGTAGGCCTGCCTGGTCAATACTTGATCCTCTCGGGGAATCCTCCGGCCGCCCCACCCGATCGGAGCGCCGGCCGAGGCGGGCACTTGGCGCGCGGGCGCGACGCAGATCGCGGCGCCGCGCGTGGGCGGGGAGGGGGTCCCTCCTGGATGCGGGACTTTTCGCAGAGAGGAAGAGAGAGAGAGAGAGAGGTGTGTGTATGTAGTTGTGTATGTATGTGTATGTACATGTATTCGTCTATGTATATGCATAAATACACACACGCAAACATACATACATACATACATACATACAGACAGACAGACAGACAGACAGACAGACAGACAGACAGACAGACAGACACAGACATACAGACATACAGGCAAACAGAAATACAGACATGCAGACATACAGACATACATACAGACATGCAGACATACAGACATACAGACATACAGACATACTGACATCCAGCCATAGAGACAGACAGACATACAGGCATACATACAGGCATACAGGCATACACACACATAGATATATCTATATAAAATGTGTGTGACGGCCGAACGAAGACCCCCATCGAAGTTTTTTGCAACAAGAAACAACAATTTCCGATGGATTTTGCAAGATTGGGGGAATGCTCTGCTCTTCGGTCTTCCAGGCGTCCGATACCGCCCAGGAGGCCAGAAAATCTCACCAAAACTACCCAAATGGGCTTCCAGGCAGTTCAAGAGAACCCCAAGACAGCGAAACGAGTCCCCAAGATGGCCCGAAGAAAGCCCCATGAAGGCCCATGACGGCCCCAAGACACACCCCGAAGCATTCCAAATCGTGACCCGGTCGTTCAGGAAGACCGTTGAAGCAGGGTGGCCCGAGGAAGCCACCAGAGGTCCCCAGAAAAAAAACAAGGAAGCCTCCAAAGACCCCAAGAACTGTCGAGCCCCCCAAGAACCAAAATGCTCTCCAAGGAGGAGCCTCCTCAAAAAGAGCCGAGGATAGGAACGGATTCGCATGGTCGGGCGCGAATGAGGAAGAGGAAGAGGAAGCATGAGGGAAAGATAACGAATAATCCGCCGATCCGGCGTGTGAGTTTCAAAGACCCTCAGATAGCCTGAGTCTCAGTTCTTGAGTTTCAGCTCTGCTGGGGGGGTGGGTGCCGGGGTGGCTCTGCCGGGGTATGGGGGGGGGGTCCGAGTCAATTTTGGTGGCAAAATCGGAGTTCCAGCTCACTCCGGGTCGGCCCCTCGCCCTGGAGAGCTCGAACGCGGGCCCATAAAAACCCAGCGGCCGCCCAGACGGCCCAAAAGGGGCCTGAATGGCCGAAACATCGCCCCCCTCCCGACACCTCCTAGGAGTGCCCAAAGAAGGAAAATATGCCCCATTCCCTTCGGAAAACGTGATTCGTTCTGCATTTTCGCATCTTCGGCCTCCGCAGTGTCCAACACGGCCTAACAGGTCGGCCCAAAAAGGGCCCAAGACGGCCAAAATAGCCCTAGGAGTCCCCGGGAAACCCCGAGGGGCCCCAAATGGCCCCCAAGAGGCCCCCAAAAGGCGCCCAAAAGCGCCCCCGAAGGCTTAAAAAATACTTCCTAAACACCCCCAGGAAGCCTTCAGGATGCCTCCCGCATGCCCCCCCAGAAGCCCAAAATATCCGAAGGTTGCCCAAGCGGATTCAACATCTATATCTTATGAGGATGTCTCGAACGAGCGCTCTATTCTTACCACATAAAAATTCATCCGTCACTGCAATATAATTATTACGACGACGTCGGACAAAAAACAACAAGAACTGATCGCTCAATGTTCCGCATGACCCTCCTGCCCTTCCGCCTGCATGCCAAACATCAAGGACCAAGGTGCATCGCGCGACGCGCCAATACAGGTCTTGTATACATATGTAATGAACTATATACACGACCAGCTGGCGTCGTGACGACCCAAGCGATAGTTTCTGACATCGCGTAGATATATAAACTTCGCTACTCGATCGCTGAATCGTTCCAAATTTACCGATGATGCGCCGCTGGAAACGTTGAACCCTGAACGCCCGCGCTGAACGAGCTGCCACGTCCCCAGAGAACAAAACACATATATATATATATATATATATATATATCAATATATATATATATATATATATGTCAATATATATATATATATATATCAATATATCAATTTATATTATTATATATATATATATATATATATAATATATATATATATATATCATATATCAATATATATACACATATATATATATATATATATGGCGAGTCCTGGAACCCCTGGATTCAAAAAGATGTCATCTCTGAACGGTACAACTTTTACTTCCGCCAGCTTCCGCTGGCGAAGACGCCCCCGTTTTACTGTGCATGTAGGCTAACGACCAAAGAGTCGAACCTGCACAGTATCCCGTAGGGAGAGGTAAGCAAAGAAGAGCGTAGCGAGTTTTTTTTTCCAGGGCGCTGCGATGAGGGCGGCGCGGCATGTTGCACCAATACCTGAACCGATGCGTCAGCGGTAGACAAGGATGCAATGGTAATATGAGCGGATTTCACACACACCCCGCCCCGAATCCCGCCCGCACCACGCTGGCCCCGGGCCCACGGGAGACGAAGGCGGGGCCCGGGGAACGGAGGTGCGAGGTCCACGCAAAACACCGCCATATCCACCGCACCCCCAACGAAGCCGTTTCGGCTAGGAGGGAAAAACAGGGGGGCCAACCCTGCCACGCAAGGTACTTGGGGGAGCCCACCCGCCTTTAACGGGCCCAGGTTGCGCCCCCAAAAAAAGCCGCGGCACTCCTGGACAACTCCCCGCCACCACGGGCGACGAGGCTGGGAGAGCAAGAGAGAATAGAGCAAGTGGAAAAACAGCGCCGCGTCGGAGAACGCGAGCGCTTCCACCAGCGAACAAAGATTCGCGCGCCAAGCAACTGCAGAGCAAAAAGCACAGCGACCAAAGTCATAATGATAACTGATGAAATGACAGTAAGTATCACTAACTGAGCTCCCCAGACCCAAATTCAAATTGAAATCGAGATCAAAGTTGCCACGGCAACTGGTCGAAGAGATTGCATGCGATCATGGCTGCCACGACAACTGATCAAAGACATGTGGCAAAAGGCGCGGAAGGCGCCTCAACGCCGAAAAATGCACAGTCATCAAGACAACGCAAGTGCGCGCGCGTGTGATAATCTTGCCAAAATAAAAATCATTGAAATTATGCTTCGCACGCGTCGTACTCTTTACCTCTGACTTCCCATGAAAACAAATGATGTGGCGTAGAAGATGACGGGCGACCTACCGGGGTGCGTCCATGCCCAGACTGCCATATAATAGTAAACGCTCTAATGTCATCATCATAATCATGAGATTTCATCTTCGCGAAGCAGATGTTGGCCACGATATGCGGGATCCCAAATGTTTGCTGCGATTGTCAAATTGTCCAACAGTACGAGTAGCAATATTATCAAGCCCAATCACTGCCCAATCATTCTCATCGATCTAGATCCACTTGTTCAGATAGCACGACCAGTAGCGACGCGCGTCGTCGCTGTAGCGCTCGAAATTTGCTGCCCCGCCACCCCGGCCCGCGCCGCCCGGAGCAGGGCCGCCGGAAGACGCCGCGCCCGAGAAGACAGCAGCGCCCATGGCAGGCCCATCGCAGAGCGGCGGCGGAGAAGATGGCGACGGGGCAGAGCGGGGGCCGGCGACTGAAAGGGCCCCCTCGCCGAAGGCTTTGCCCCCCGCGGCGGCCGCAGCTGCGCGACGCCTCGCTCTGAGCTGCGCCCATGTCACGCGGCGCTGGCCCGTTTCGCCGATCTGGGGGGCGACTGCGCACATCTCGCAAATGTGCTCATCGAAAATAGCAAAGATGTCGGTGCAAGCTGTCGTGTCCGACTGCATTCCGGGCGCTCCTGCCTGGGCCAGCGCATCAATCCGCTCGCGGGTGCTTCTCCCGGCGCTCAACTCGCAACCAAGATCTCGGATGGCCTGATCCAGCATCGCGCGAGCGCCATCGGCTGTCAGATCGGCAGATAGAGACTCGCACTCTTTATCGGCCATCTGATCGGGGGGATCGCCCATCGCGATGTCTCCGCGAGATACGCGTGCTAAGGCAGCGCCAGGAGGCTCGGCCGCGATCTGCCCGGTCTGCTCCACCAGGGCCGTCTCCTCCGCAGCCCTCTCGTAATTCTGGGGTATGCCATCGCTATCAGCACGGAGTGCTTCGACGATTTGTTCCTGGGCGGGGGTGGAAGCAGACGTGGGCCCCGGGGAGTCGAGGGGCCCCTCGGCACCGATCTCTGCAGACGGGCGCGGAAGATGATTGGCGCCAGCCGTGGAGATAGATGCACCCGGTTGCCGCGCGCGCTGGACTATCGCCCGGCCGAGTCTGCCAACGGGAACGTCGACTGAAGAGATCGCCGGCGCGACACGTCGGCCGGAATCGAATCGCCCCGCAGATTTCGCAATGCACGGAGTCTCGGTCGGCTAGTCGCACGAGCTATTGCGCGAAAGATCTCCGACAGCACACGCGCGCAAGCGGGCGGGGGGGCCGAGAGAGGGGGAACGAAGGCACGCGACATCAGTGACAGGCCTGACAGTCTTAGCGGCCTCCGTTGTCCTCTCGGTCACCAGGCTGCGAGCGGCGCAAGGCACGGGGCCACTGGGCGGCCGCAGTCGGCCAGGCAGCGTCGCGCCGCGAGGCGGCGGCGCAGACGCGGGCGCGCCCGCCGGCGCTAGACCGCCAGGCGCCAGATCGCCCACAAGGGGCGCAGATGCGGGCGCGCCCACCAGCGCAATGGCATGATGCACGCAACACCTACACACGCAAGGGCACGAATCATCATCTCCATCTCGTCGCACCCGTCGTGGACGCGGCGACGCTCGCGGGGGGGCGCACGACTGACGCGGCGAAATCTGTTCAAAATTATCGAAGTCGAGTTCTGGGATGCGGTTCTTGACAGTAACCCTGTACCATTGACCACGTGGGCCATGTAGTAAGCAACCAAGTCGCGGGCCCCAGATCAGCCCGAAGCCGCCCTCCTGCACCAATTGCCCTACAGATCGCACCGATGGGCAATCGCCCAGTGCGGAATAACACGAGGTGGATGTGCTCGCTAACGATCCTTTCACCATTGGATGTCTCGAGTATATGTTCTCGTCCTCGACGCACGCC